AGTTATTTATCTATCTATTTATTGTATTTACTTATTTATTTATTTATGTATTTATTTATTTTATTTATTTTTTTATTTTTTTATTTATTTTTTTTATTTATCGATTTTTTTATTTATTGTATTTTAAATACTAAGCCTTTAAGCCTTTTTTCTTTTTTAAATTTGTCCTTTTTTGGGGTAGAGATGATAGATCTGGACCTGGCGGAGGGCAGCCTGATCGATGAGCTGATGGAGCTCACGGCTCAGAGCATCATCCATCTGGAGATCCAGGAGAGATTCAACGTGATAAAGGAGATCGGGCGGGGGAAATACGGCCGCGTGCTGCTGGTCACGCACCGGTTCAGAGGTACCAGCCCGGTCCTCTGTCTGTCTCAGGGGAATGAGGTTCTCAGTAACATACTTTAACATTTGTCCGTCAACCCCCCCCCTCCCCATTCCTGGAAAATGCCAAGTACGAAGTAATAATAATAATAATAATAATAATAATAATAATAATAATAATAATAATAATAATAATAATACTGATAATACTAATTATAAACATAATAATGATAATACTGATCATAATAATAATAAAAATATTGCATTTTATTCTTAAAAAGCGCCTTTCATACCACTCGAGGACACTTTACAAAGACAATTGTCATTAGAACAACATTGAAACATAAGAAAGTCATAAATAAGAAGTCATAATTACATCATAAATAAAAACAGAAATTAATTAACCCTGTAATGCCAAATGTATCATATTTGATTCATACGGTTTCTGAAATGTTTTGCGTCTGACACCTTTGCATAATTTAATGGTAAAAACTTTGCTCAAAATCCTATTGTACACAATCAGATACACCTGATAACAGGGGGCAGAAGATACACAAAAAATAATCTTGATTTATCGCATAGTAATAAATTATTAATATTAAAAATGTATTTCCGTTTTTTCTTTTTACATATTTTGTTAAAAGGTCAAATAAGGAATTCAAAACAACAAAAAAGTAATTTTCTGTTTTGTTTTATTCTTGGATCAGGCTTTAAAGGGTTAAATGAAAATTAAATGAATGAAACTGTGCAAAAAGAGGGGAATGTTGGAGTTATGGGTGATGAGGTGGGTAAGAAATTTTAAACAGGTGGGTTTTAAAGTTTTGTTTTGAAAAGAGGGAGGGAGTCGGTATTTCCTTTTCGAACCAAGCCGTTAACTAAAAGTGTGCTTGGACGTGCACGGGTTTACGTTTCTGGTGTTTGAGAGCTCTCTGGAAACAGAAAAAACGATGGGAACCTCAAACGACCCGGAGAGGGAGGAAAAGCAGAGAGCAAAATGCCAAACATGAGCTGGCGTAAAGCCGGCTGGATAAAGGTGGAGGATGTGAACTTGAAAAACCCTGGAGAGTGTGTGTGTGTGTGTGTGTGTGTGTGTGTGTGTGTGTGTGTGTGTGTTGTGAACATTTTAATCTAAAGCGCACAAGTCTGAGTCCATCCAAGTGAGTAAGAAACAGAAAATGTATTCAATTTTGTTCATGCAACACATCAAACTGCCCCCCAGAAAAACAAACTCAAAGTCCATTTTTTGGGATGGGGAGGAAAGTTTATCTCCCATCGTAGAGTCACCTGCATCTGTACTAAACATTCCTCAAGCCAAAACATTAAGAAATAAAGTTTAAGGAGAGCTTCTCTGAGAACTTCAAAGAGGAAGGAGCCCCATGAGAATGTGTGTGTGTTTGTATATATGTGAGTGTGTGTGTGTCTGGATATGTGTGTGCACGTGTGTGTGTGTGTGTGTGTGTGCCTGTGTGTGTGTGTGTGCGTGCGTGTGTTTCTGATATATGTGAGTGTGTCTGGATATGTGTGTGTGTGTGTTTCTCGATATATGTGAGTGTGTGTGTGTCTGGATATGTGTGTGCATGTGTGTGTGTGTGTTTGTGTGTCTCTGTGTGGTTTGATAAAACAGGGAAAAACACCCTCCCTGGCCCTGACGTCTCCTGTGTGTGTGCACATGTGTGTGTGTGTGTGTGTGTGTGTTACTGTGTGTGTTACTGTGTGTGTTACTGTGTGCACATGTGTTTCTCCAGGGACCCCCATGGCCCTGAAGGTGATGCCCAAAGCCTCCACCCAGCTGCGGGGCTTCCTGCGGGAGTACTGCATCTCGCTGCACCTGTCCTGCCACCCCTGCATCGTGGGCCTGTTCGGCATCGCCTTCCAGTCCCGGGACCACTACTGTTTCGCCCAGGAGCTCGTCATCGGCAGGGACCTGTTCGCCGTCATCCAGCCCAAGGTGAGTCTCCTCGACTCGAAGAGTGGTGGTGTAGTGCAGTGTTTTTCAACATTTTTTGAGCCAAGGTACATTTTTTCATAGAAAAAATCCCGAGGCACACCACTAACCAAAAATGTTAAACAAATCTGTAGCCGCCTATAGTAACACTATAGTTATTCTTAGCTTATCCTAAGTGTCTTGAATAGGAATTAAATAAACACAAAAATTTCTTCTTTCAAATTGCTCTTAACATGTCCACTTCAATATACAAAATTATATACAAAATCTAGTCATAAGGAATTATTACATGATTACGCCACCAGTCACTAGTACAGCACAGACACTCAAAAATAGCATATTATTAGCAGATAATTAATTCCTTATCAAAAATCTTTTTAGACCAATTAGGTGAAATCGGATGATTTTCTACATCTATGTCACACCTGACCATCACTAGTGTACCGAGGCGCACTGGTTGAAAAACACTGGTGTAGTGGTTAGCATAGCTGCCTTCCAAGCAGTTGACCTGGGTTCGATTCCTGGCCAATGCAGCTCCTCTCTACCCTGTAAGTCGCTTTGGATAAAAGCGTCTGCCAAATGAATGAATATGAATATATGAATACAATGAGTTTGCTTGAATGTAGGGTCGTCAAAAGTATCGATACTCAAAAAAGTATTGATAGTAAAACTTTGTATCGGGATACGATACTCGTTTTCAAAAGTATCGATACCATGACGTTAGCCTTGAATTGCTAGCTGCGGCTAATGGCTAATGATAACATGCCAACATTAATCAAGCCCGTCTGGCTGCAGACTGCAGGAAGCCAAGGATGGATATCCAACTCCCCACATCGGCCATTTTGATTAGGTCACCAATAGGAAGATCCCAGGCAAGAAAATCCTAATTGCTTCATGGCAATATAGAATTAGGGAAATTAATCTTTCAAACACTGAATTAAACTCTATACATAATATTATGTTAAAATACTGCATGGTAAATAGGTTTGTACAATAAGTCCAAACAAGTTTATCCAAAAAATATTTATTTCTCACATTTATGAAGGGTTAGGGTTAGGATTAGGGTCAGGGTCAGGGTTAGGGTCCGGTTTAGGCTCAGGGTTAAGCTTAGTTCAAAGGTTAGGGTTAGGTTTAGGCTTAGGGTCAGGGTTATGTTTAGGGTTAGGCTCAGTTTTAGGGTTAGGTTTAGGGTCAAGGTTAGGACATCGTTTGTCTTCCGATTTCGTACAGACAGGAAAGTTTCGTTTCCACCTCAGAAAGCTGCTAGTTACATGACCTAATCAAAATGGCTGACTTGGATGTGGGAGGAGGCTCCTACAGGCTGGAGCCAGAGGCTACTGCTCCATCTGTCGAGAAAGTCCTCTGAAGTGAACAAAAAAAACCTGAAACTCAAACAATAACCCCCATTTTTACCCCCTCCCCCCTTAGGTCGGTAT